TGATCAAGTCAACTGGCAGGTTCGTAGCTGCGACCAGAACACTTGTGTGCTTCTGACGGATGCACCAAATCAACCAAATCTCTGCCCAAATCAGCCCGGGATGTCGCTCCCTTTGCCACACACAGGCTGCCCCAGGGGACGTCCTTCTTACTGGGAGCTCTGGGGCAGCCTCCCTTTTTGGAGAACTGAGTGCCCGTCGCTGCGGCTGTCAAACTTGCTTCTCTCCTCTGATTTACGTCCTTCTAAGCACCTTCTCTGCACTTATTTTCTTGCCCTAAGAAGATGCATTTAGGAGCAGCCACTGTGGTCTTCCATCCACCAGGACTGGGCGTTGGCTGGAGAACCCAGCGCTGGCTGGAGCTGGGCGGCCACAGGGGCTCTGGTTCGTACTGGGACCAGCAGGACATGGCAGTGTGCTGCCCAGGGGGGCTGGGAGCACTGCCGGCACGGCAGCACAAGGCATTTCCAAGGATTTTGTTGTGGAATGCAGAAACCATTTATATCAGACTGGCTTCCCTCATTCTTATCAGCAGGCTTAACATAGATCTAAACCCATTTTTTTTCTCTTTTTCCCTCCAGGGAGTATGATCTTATGTGAAAAGGCCCATAGCAGAGTTGGCCAACCTCAAAATAAACACAAGAAATAACCCTTTGCAAAACTAGCATCCGTGTTCTCAGGAAGGGGAGCTAGAAGACATGACAGGATTGAAAATATCCGTGTATATATATTTCTTTTAATGTGTGGTAAATAAATACCTTAAGCTGGTTAGCTAAACTTAGAGTAGCTGAAGAAAGGGGGGTTTTGTGTTTAGAACCACGAACAGAAAATGTTGCAAAGTCTGAGGGAACAGCAGCAGAACCCGCAGACACCTCTCAGAATTTAGAATTCAGCCGTCCCTGAATCTTCTACGGATGAGCCAAGTTTATGGTGAGGATCACGCTCGTAACTCATAATGGAGTCGCAATAAAAACAAAGAAACAATCCAAGAACTGATCTGTAAAGAACGATCATCTCTGCCTGCGGCTTCTCTAAGGCTCCGCCCTAACATGGATGTTTATAGAACGTCCTTCAGCACTTTAAGGGCAAATGATGGTGCTTCTAGCTCAGGGCTCCACGCCAGGCCCTCTGCTGTGTTGGCAATGATTTGGAACATGCTTGTGTTCCGTTTTCATTCCCTGACATTAACAGCGATCACTTGTCGTACAATGACAAGCCCAA